AAGCAATCGCAGAACAAGTGTCCGAGAGCTCATCCTCTGATGACATTCCTTCCTGCATTCTCTTGTAGTCTCTACGTCTGATAGCTCCTAGCTGGAGTCGAGACATCCGTCGGGCAATTCTTGAATTAACTTTTTCTCCCGGGGAAAAGTCGGTGTTTGATTCACTTGAATGCCACTTAGATTTTCCTTTATCAGCCATGTTGATGGTGACTTCATGGAATTCATCCTCTTGAATAGCAAGCTTCTTGTTGAAACGTCTCGGTTTGGGCTTTGACATTTCGGTAGAAAGTCTCTGGAACACAGAAACTTTCGGCGGAATGGCTTTAAAGCAGCTGCATTCAGACAACACTGCTTTGATAAGTTTTTCACATACACAATGAGGACTTGTTTCTCGAACGGTCCTTTTATGTGATTTGTTTCCACTTTTAGTTTGATAGTACAACTCGTCAGCATGGTGACCAGAGTAACCTATCTTTTGTTTTTGTGTTTGAACCTTGTTAACATACTCAGGATGACTTGTCGTCACCTCTGAGCGATCCAAGGTTATATCAAGAGTCACACGTTTAGAACCACCCCCTTGCGGGTGTGGAGTCTCAACGGGCTCCGAATGCTGATTTTGCACAACTCCAGACTTTGGAATCCAAACTTTGCAGAGTTTTGGTGGTTCTTTGGCCACTGTTTCCTTGTTTCTTTCTCGTCTTTGTTGTAAGAGAGAACGGGCATGAGCAGTGTTTGCACGACGCTTTTGTATTCGTTCTTTGAGGGTCGAACGGTCGTCTCTGAGCGATCCAAGGTTATGTCAAGAGTCACACGTTTAGAACCACCCCCTTGCGGGTGTGGAGTCTCAACGGGCTCCGAATGCTGATTTTGCACAACTCCAGACTTTGGAATCCAAACTTTGCAGAGTTTTGGTGGTTCTTTTGCCACTGTTTCCTTGTTTCTTTCTCGTCTTTGTTGTAAGAGAGAACGGGCATGAGTAGTGTTTGCACGACGCTTTTGTATTCGTTCTTTGAGGGTCGAACGAGCCCTTTTGACAAAAGTTCATTCATCCGTCGTTAGTTTAGCAGAGATATGAGTGATTGGTCATTGAGACAACTGAAACACTCGATGCCTCCTCGATTCTAAGTCCGCATAGTAACGAACTCCATCGGTTTGTTCCAAGGCCTTAGCCAATTGACGAGCGAGGCGTTGGCGTCGCCTCTGACGAGCCCTCTTCGTCAGAGTTGGCGAACTCCGATCGAACGGCTCCTTAATTAGGGAGGAATGATCATGAGCAGAGCTTCCGGCTTTGAGGGTTGCCAGAATAATGTTGCGAGGCATGGCCTCAACAACGATTGGGTGAGAGGCTTCACTTTTAGCCTTCTCTGGCGTATAGACATTCTTCAATGATGAGATCCTCTTGTACTTATAAGATAATGAAGATCTTGAAGAGGACGATGAGATATATTCCTCAAATTTGGTTTGGTCGAATTCATACTCGACCATGGATTCAACCGGTATCTTGATTGGCTGCGACATGACGGTCTCGGCAGCGAGACCTTTGGCTCCCACTGTGGTCGCCAGTTTGTTTGCGTCGAAAGTTGCTCTCGTTGTGGAATTCATTATATCTTCGGTCGATTACAACAAATTCAAAAGAGATAGTCTTTTTATAAGACTTTTTTTACACAACAAAATGAAAATTATAACTTTTTAGAAACAAACGCAAGATCATTGTTTGGATCGCTGCTTGCGTGGGATCTTTGCCTGTGCCGGGAGCGCTTTGGCTCGTGGACCACCAAATCACAGATTCTGATTGAATTGTGAGGGGTTAAATGATTCTTCCTTCGTTTATCGAAGTGAGAATTTGAAACGATATTCTTATCGATGTAAGATATTCACTCTTCCAAAGATCAAGTCTGAGCTTAGATCTCTAGGACTCGCTAGAAGCTTCTTGAGGATGTTTGTGAAGAAGGAAGACTCTCTCTCTTGCTCTAATTCACCAAAACTCAAGGCTCTCTGCTCTAATCTCTCTGGAAAATGCTCAGCCCCCCGTCAATGATGTCCATAGGGGGGTATTTATAGCCTCCTTGGACAATAACTGAAGAAATAGCCGATCAACGACTATCCCTTTGACCGCGACATCCCGGACTGCAGCGGCTATTGGCGCGGCAGCATGAACTGCAGCGGCCACAGGGGCAGTTACCAGCACGTTCCATCGTGCTTGAAACTGTCCTCCCACGACTTTTAACCACCTTTTTCGTGGTTTAACTGCTTGTACACGTCAGCACACGTTCTATTTCTGATACGCCGCCACGTAGACTTCACATAATCATCACATAACTACCTCGTAACCGCTGTAGCATCCCCTATAGTAGCCGCGGCACCATGGATTGCCGCGCCCAAGCCGCGGCACTATGAACTGCCCTACGTTAGTTCTATCTTCTATTCCCCTAGTTCTAGCTTGTATACCCCCAGTTCTAGCTTCTATCTTGCTAGTTCTAAACCCAACAAGGGTTTTTTACATGCACATTTGCTAGTTCTTTATTCTACGTTAGTTCTATCTTCTATTCCCCTAGTTCTAGCTTGTATACCCCTAGTTCTAGCTTCTTTCTTGCTAGTTCTAAACCCAACAAGGGTTTTTTACATGCACACTTGCTAGTTCTTTCTTCTACGTTAGTTCTAGCTTCTATTCCCCTAGTTCTAGCTTGTATACCCTCAGTTCTAGCTTCTATCTTGCTAGTTCTAAACCCATCAAGGGTTTTTTACATGCACACTTGCTAGTTCTTTCTTCTACGTTAGTTCTAGCTTCTATTCCCCTAGTTCTAGCTTGTATACCTCCAGTTCTAGCTTCTATCTTGCTAGTTCTAAACCCATCAAGGGTTTTTTACATGCACACTTGCTAGTTCTTTCTTCTACGTTAGTTCTAGCTTCTATTCCCCTAGTTCTAGCTTGTATACCCCCAGTTCTAGCTTCTATCTTGCTAGTTCTAAACCCATCAAGGGTTTTTTACATACACACTTGCTAGTTCTTTCTTCTACGTTAGTTCTAGATTCTATTCCCCTAGTTCTAGCTTGTATACCCCCAGTTCTAGCTTCTATCTTGCTAGTTCTAAACCCAACAAGGGTTTTTTACATGCACACTTGCTAGTTCTTTATTCTACGTTAGTTCTAGATTCTATTCTCCTTGTTCTAGCTTGTATATCCCCAGTTCTAGCTTCTATCTTGCTAGTTCTAAACCCAACAAGGGTTTTTTACATGCACACTTGCTAGTTCTTTCTTCTACGTTAGCTCTAGCTTCTATTCTCCTAGTTCTAGCTTGTATACCCCCAGTTCTAGCTTCTATCTTGCTAGTTCTAGCTAGTTCTAGCTCTAATTCATCTTAGTTCTAGGCTTTTGGGAATGGAGAAAAGCTCCTCGTACCTCCGACGGAGCCCACCGAGACACCCCGACGACCCCGGCAACCTCCTCTCACCTCCGGTAAGCCCGGACAGCGGCGAAAATCTCCGAACATCGAAGAATAAACCCGAACGGCGAGAAATTGCACTGCAGATAACTGTAGTTTTGTGCCGACTTCGTACGCACTTTCTGATCGCCTCCAATCTCCGTTTCCGCCGATTTCTTCTATGGTGAGTAGCCCTACATGTTGCCTATCACCTCCGATTTGTATCACGCTCTAACTCATTCTCTATCTCTCTCGGTAACATCTGAAACATCGCTCGACGGCAGCAACGAGCAGAAAACAGCAGCGCCGTGCCGACTTCGCGCGTGTTTTACGGCCACCTCTGGTCTCCGTTTTCACTACCGTCTGCGCCGGTGTGTAGCCCTTTATATTGTCTATCACACAGTATCTTTCTTTCATTTGGGATCATTTTCTACCTCTCATTATATTGCTTCGAATATCGCTCGGCGGCACTGTGGTAATTTCATTCATAGAGATACATTAATACACATTTTCGTTCTTTCTTAATTACGGCATTTCTCTTCATTCCCCTTCTACTCTACTTCTCCTTACCTTTCTTTTTTCTTTTTTTTTTCTTCTTCTAGCTAATAGATTAATGCTCTGTGCGTCTCGGCCAGGACGACGAGCTTGAGAAAGCTCTTAGAGAGATTGAGGAGAGAGGATAAGAGAGAGAGGAGATGAGAGAGAGAGAGAGAGAGAGAGAGAGAGAGGAGATGAGAGAGAGAGATGATGTGAGTGCTGGGTTAGAGAGATTGAGGAGAGAGGATAAGGATAGTTTGGGAATTTTAGCTTAGCTGGCATGTGATAATTGATAAAAAGGGACTGCAGTATAAAGTGTCACATTTCAAGGGGCTGATCCACATGGGGAAAATTATGAGGGGCCTTGTCACATGAAGTTTCTGTTTTTAGGGCCTGGACACATTTTTCCCTTTTTTCGCCATAAAAAATCAACACATACTTTCTTGAGTTGAGATTTATGACGACACCCGAGTAGCCAACAACCGCATAAATAATTAGAAAGTTAGTTTGGAAATTTTAATTATTCTGCTTACATATAATGCAAACTATCTCCCCTCCTATGGGGACGTTTTGAAAGGAGAGATCATGTGTCTTATCAGAACGCTCCGCATAGTACCGGACATCCCCCACAGCACCAGGCATTCTCAGCTGTTGAGATGTGAGGGGGGCAATCTGGGTATTCCCTGGACAGATCCCCCGCGTCGTGTGGAATTCTTGTAGAATTCACTCTTTGATAGGATTTCTATTCCATTTTCCTTGCCTATAGCTAATTATCAGAACCTAACCTAATGATCTTAGCAAACAACACAAAATGATATACAAATCTCATGCCACGCACATGTAAACTAATGCAAGATAACTGAAATGAAACAACACTTGCGTGGCAAACACCATGAAAATCTATAGAAGAAATTTTAAAAAAAAAAACTTGGAAGATACACGATAGTAAAAATTTGTTAAGACAACATGCCACGTTCATTTCCACTTATTTACCAAGTGAGTTCGCAACAAGAACTGCTCGGAGATTAATAATAAACCCATAATTGACCAGAAAAGAGACCATTATGTTGGAGTGTCGATAATACATATTACACCATGTCTTATTCAACAAAATTCTCAGGCAATATAGCCACTACATGGGTCAATTGCCAATAACTACTCTCAATGTAGTGAAGTTTGAGGCAGCCTAAATGAACCACTTGAATAGAGCATTTGGTACACTGGCTTCACCCTAACTGTCAAAACTACACCCAACGCGCTTCCGATAACACTGACCCCAGATAGAACAAAGAATGTAAGCCTGAAGCATTCAGGTCCATAACAAAAGCTCCCTGAATGATGTTTTGCTGCTTCTTTGTCGTAAATGTAACCTGCGAGGAGGCCCGAGAACAGAAGTGCTCCAAGGGGGTTTCCTAAAGCCATGAAGCTGTATATCTTCCCAAAATGCTTCAATCCGAACAGCTCAGATGTGGTTGGAACCATAACTGAGTATTGGACTCCAAAGCAGATTCCAAGTAGTGCAGAAGATGCATAAAGGGTGCCATTTATCGCTGAAGCGTAGAGAAGATAAACGAAGATCATAATTATGTGCGCGAAGGTCATCCAAATGGTACGTGGAAGCATTCTTGACCTGCATATTGATATTCTTTGGATATTAAAGATGCGTCTATTTTCAAAGCGCTATTAGAAGGGTAGATTTTCACACTCCCCCTCTAAACGTACAAAATTGTTCTGAACCTAAGCTTCCATGAAAAGGGTAATATATACATTATATTTAGTACATCAGGGTAAATTTACTGAAAAATAGTCATGTGTGGTGACAACACACAGGAATTGACATAGCAATAGTGTTTTGGGAAACCACAACAATATGCCCAGGATTGATCCTCGACCAGTTTCAATTTTCACTTTTATTTATTTATTTATTTTCTTAGGTTTTTTTTCGCTAAACTAAGTAAGACAAATTCAGGAAGGCTTCTGTGATTTATAAAGTTGGGGAGGTCTTGTGAATTTTACCCTTATTAATAATTTAGTGTTGAGGGAAAATTACGTTACCTCACGAAATACTCTGAAACAACACCACCACCAAGGCGACCAACAAAACCGCAAAAGCTGATGAGACATAAGAGTAAAGTCGTGTCATCCTCCCCTGCTGCAATCCCAACTTGTGCTAAGTTGTTGAGTACTGTGACACCTGAGCCAACCCCGAGAAAGTAAACCAGAAATAGCAACCAGAAATCGGCCTTAACTAGGGCTTGCTTGAAGTTAAAATCCTCTCCTCTCTTCGGTTTCCTCTTCTTCTTTCCCGGCATTACTGCTCCCTCCCCCTCAGCTAAAAGTATGTCAACGTCATTTTCATCTATAGTCTCCTCAAGGCTTCCAAGATTTGATGCTGAAGATACTGCGAGCAATGGTTCTTCAGGTAAACTTGACGCCTGAATTGCATCAGTTCTTTTCGGTTTTGTTGGATATAAGGTCATCTTTATCGGTATTGCTAAGGGAGCAAGCAGAAATAGAATCATGATACCAAAAAATGCGCACGAAATGGCATCATTCAGAGAGAGAACATCATTCAATATAGTAGTTGTTAGAAGATAAACGCCTAAAATGACACTTAGAATCTGTGTAAAGAGAAAATGGCCACGCTCTGATGAGTCTTCCTCGGATGCTGGAGTGCATGGTCTAACAAAAAACATCATCACTAAACATATTGCTGGTAGACCGAGAGTGAGAAAGAGCAATAACTTTGTAGATGAATTGTGGAGAACGCCAGTATAAATCTCGGTGTAAACAGCAGCACTAAGTCCACTGTAACCCTTTAGAATGCCAGCAACAGTGCCCCTACTAATAGGGAAGTTCCTCATGTTGGTAACTAACACGCCTGTGCTTAACCATGCACTGCTATGAGTAGCAATGCATAGAGCAATCCACAACTGACATGTCAACAGAAATTGAAAAGTTTAAGTGAGTAATAAACCATAGAAGGAAAAGGTATTGAACATAACAAATTCAGTTATCCTGGTCTATAATGTTTAATACAGTAGTAGTTAGTCCACTACATGTGTACGCTGTTCAGATTCGTTGTTGATTGCTTCGTTGTTGATTGCTGATACTTGATAGAGGAAGCAAGATCACATATAACAGGTATTTCTATGTATGCATTCCCTGATAACGCATACGTTATGGTCATCATCTTTGTGACATCAAAACGCGATTGCCTATGGGGTGCAATTTCATAACAAGAAGGCCCCATGGAAAGTTACCAAACATTTTAGAGCATGACTGTTAACGTGACAACCGGCAATCTAGATTGCTGCCCTGTAATACCTGAGTAAATTATCAAAAATAGAGAGGGTTCTCACAAAAACCTACTTTATATGTCGGCTGGAAGAAAACAACACCATGTAGGTAATCCAGTTTATGCTCATGCAACTAAGTAGAAACTTAGAGACGATAAGGAAATCTCCTTGCTAAGGATCTAAAAGACGAGACAATAACATTTGCTACAAGGAATCTTATTTACCTCCAAAGCATGACAGAAGTCAAAGAAAATTAGAAAATACTCCCAAGATAAGCTTGCTCAATAAACTATACATAAATTGTCACTGCAGAGTTTAGAAAAACGAAGGACTAATCAACATCATTACTTTGTTTTTGTATTTCATTAATTCAGTGTGGGTAATGGTAAATCTACTAGAGTTTGGCATGACATATGGGCATCTACTATATCTCCAAAGGGCATGCCGTTGAATATTTACGGCGAAGCTCTGAACAAAAGTGTTAAAGCCTATTACTTCAATCATCTTCTAATTCCAGCTCTATCTATACGGGCAGAAAACTTTTCTTCCTCTTTCTCACAAGACATAGCAAAATCTCTATGAACTTCCTTTTATTCATCAATTTACAGTTGACAGGTGGTACAGTTCCATGGAGATTAGATCATCATTTGTTTTTGTTTTTTTAATTTCAACCAATCTCACAAGGGTAAATTGCAGAAAACCCAGATATCATTAAATTTAGTATCAACCCCCCTGTTCTATTAAAATCAACAGAAACTTTCCATACTTACCATTTGCATACTTACCAAACACTTGATGCTGCATAAAGGGGTTTTCCTCAACCTACCCACATTACATAAAATTATTATATCTTATCTTTCCTCAAATCAATCTTCAAGTTCCCCAACCTTCTCCAACTAGCCCAGATCGCGCCAAATTCAATATGCTAAAACTTGAGAACCCACAACTGGGTTTTCTGCAACCTACCCAAATTTTATAATTAAAAAAAAAAGGAATTACCACAGGATAGGGCAAGGAGATGAAGCCGGCAACAGCGAGCCAAAGCAGTCCGTACCCAACAAAGCAGAAGGCGGCGCCAACGCCGAGGCGGCCGTGGTGATGGTGACGGCTGTCTGGAGCTGGGGGAATAGGGAGCTCCCGGGGTGCCCCCTCTAAAGGCTTAATTGCACTTAAATACCCTGTAGTTTTCCCTTTTTTTGCACTTATGTACCCTTATTTGCTCTACTTATATGTCCTAATGTTTTAAAAACGTGCAACTAAATACCTTTTAGTTTTTTTAAAAACTTGCACTAAAATATCATCAGTTATGCAAATCTTAGGATGTTTTAGTGCAAGTTCTAAAATTTTTAGGATGTTTAAGCGTTTGTTATAAGAACCTTACATTATTTAAATGCAGGCTTTAAAAATCTAAAGGTAATATAGGTCCTGCTGATAATAAATGAACGTTTTATAAAGTTTAGGATACGGGCCTGTTCGTTTGTTTTCTAAAAACCAAGAAATGAAAATAGAAAAGGTGGAAATCTCAAAATAACCCATTTCTTCCATTTCCATCCCTAAAACTCACCCACAACATCCAATAAAATATTATTTTCATCCAACAACTCATCCACATCATCTAATAAAATATTATTTTCATCTAACCACTCATCCACCACATCTAATAAAATATTATTTTCATCCAAACATCACTCAACTCATCTCTTCTCATCATTTTAAATCACTCACATCATCCAATAAAATATTATAACAATTCATCTCATCTCATTAACATTTTATTTCTTAGTTTTCATCCTAAAAAGTTATGAAAACATTTTTCTTAATCTTTCTTCACATCACCCAATAATACAATGACAACTCATTTCATTTCTTATTTTTAAGAATGAACCGAACAAAAGAAAACTAGAAAACTACAGGAACTAGGTTTCCTACAAACTCATTTCCTTATTTTTTTCGCCAACCGAACAACATCAAAACTAGAAATGTTAAAAAATCACTCACATCATCCAATAATAACGTGACAACTCATCTCATCTCATCTCTATTTCTTTGATTTCCTTTTTTTGTAGCCAACCAAACAAGTCAAAAACCTATTTTTCTTAGAAATAGTTTTCTATTTCTTTGATTTCCCATTTTTTTAAGGCAAACGAATATATATAATTGTTGCCTGAAACGAGCGAGCATATATATAAGTGTAATTAAACTATTTATTTTGTCCGTGCATACTTTTTAAACTTCTTTTGTCTCATCCTACCCCCATAAACTATTAAATTCCTCTACATATATCTCTGAACTATTTTCCGTCTCACTTTATCTCTTAACTATGCCTTTATACCATATTAACCCCTAAAATATCACTTGACTTATTGTAACTACTTACATAAAATAAGTGGTAATTTAGTACTAAAAATAATAGCTTTGCAAAGAGTGGCACTAGGGGCACACCCCCAACCATACCTCCAACCACACCCTCTCTCTCATTTGCTACAGTATACCGGGCCCATATGAGATTTTAAAATTTTAAAATCCCATGTGGGGCCCGGTATACTGTAGCAAATGAGAGAGAGGGTGTGGTTGGGGGTGTGCCCCTATCATTTTCCGACTGGAAATAGCTCAATGGATTAAAAAGGACAAATTTAGTATTTCATGAGAAGATAAGACGAGAATAAAATATTTCAAAGAGTATAAAGGACAAAATGAATAGTTTAGGAGGCACCCAAGGACTGAGACATTATTGTAATAAGGGTTAATTGCAACCAGACCCCTTGCAATACCCATGTTTTGAACTAACGGCCCATGTAGTTTCATTTTGACAGATAGATTGTCGCGTGAAAATTTTCGACTCTTTTTATTGGGCCTGAACTTTTTCTTTTTTTACTGGGCATTTTGGAATTAATTTCAATATGCCACATTATTTTAAAAAAATAATTAAGTTGATACTTATGGCACCCTCAAAATAAAATTTGATATGTTTTGTATATTTCATGTTAACAGTAGAAATTTGAGTCATCCGTTGGATTTCTCTGAATTTTCTAGAATTCTCGCCTGTGGAATGACACTATTGGGTGTAGTTTTGGGCTTGGGCTTCAACCCGTAACTAAACGCTTATGGCACTACTATGGGCCGCATGATAATTTGAACCTTCTAAACCAAACTAATTGCTATATTTTGAAGAGGTCTAGTACAATAATTTAACCCGTGATTAATTAATCCATATTGAATAAATACAACTTACTGAGAAGGTAAGATACTAAGATCCAAATTTTGTAGATTTCCAATTTCGTACAAATATTCAGTGTTTATTTGGTTAATAATTTGCCACAGTGTGGAAATTGCGGCTATGAGTACTTCTAAAAAATTAAGAAAATTTAATGCTGAAGCCCTTTTCCTCGAGTGGAAATGTATCCAAAAGAGAGGCGCTACAGTCACACCTTAAACCACACCCCTAACCACACTTCTCTCTCGCTACAGTGCATTGGGACCCACATGAATTTTTTTAAAAAAATTCTCATGTGGGCCTCAGTGCACTGTAACGAGAGAGAAGTGTGGTTGGGAGTGTGGTTTAAGGGTGCGCCTCTAACATTCTCCTATCCAAAACATGTATATACTTTGATACACTGTACGGAAATTAACTACCCTATCAATTTTAGCCTACCATCTTATTCTATTTCAATTTTGTGGTTCTAGTCACCTTTTTCTATAATTACTTTGTCAAAAACACAAATCAAACTGCATTAATTTGCTGATAGAGCTCTATATCTACGTATTCTAAAACTTTAACGGAGTCAATCCGCATTAGTAGACCAAACATAGGATTAGGTTCCTTTGAAGACAAGTCAAGTAATTAAACCACGCCAACAGATGTGTTAGTATTATACACTTGTGCTGTTATATAAGCGAGCGTGCGAGGGTATGGTTTGTTTTGTACTGCTTTGGATTTGTTTTTATGCTTAATTTCCTAACAAACTGATCGTTCAATCTTAGTCTAGTTCTATTCTAAGTTGATTCTTGTTTGAACTAGAAAAGATCTGGTCCAAAACCTAAATTTGTATACTTTTTTTTTTGTTTTACAAAAAAACTGTGACATAATTTACCCAGTTTAAGATAAAACAGGACCAAGACCAATCCTGATCCAGACTTAAATAGATTGTCAAACACACCTTAAAGTCTAAAATTTAGCCTAAAAGAACTAGGCCAATTGTGGCCAAGCATTTTTGCCAAATATGTTTTAAAAGATTGCCAAACACAGCCATTGATTATGTATGGATCTAAAATTTATACTCGGTTAAATAGAAATAAGATTTAATAAATTTTTGATCCGATTATGTTTGAAAATAGTTTTAAAATACAATTTTCTTTCTCAAATGAACTCGGCCTCTGAAAAAAGACTAGTGCAGGTTTTGCAACCCACAACTTTTATCAAAAAAGTGATCGTGTGATAAACTCATGATCCTTTCTAAAATGGTTACGTTGTTAATTAATTTGTATAAATATTCTTTCATCCTTACCTCCTTAAAACTGTGACAGATGTATTTTAATTTTCGTAAGGATTATTTGCATATATAGCGCTTAAATCATGGCTATTTGCACACAAATCCTAATATTTCCAAAACTACCCTCTAAACCATCACTAAAATCAACAAATCATCGACTTAGTGCTGAAAATTTAACTATTTTGCTAATAATTTTTTACATTATAATTATAATTAACTTATCAAAGTTGATAATTACTATCTCTGAGGTTATTTTTTCTTCAAAATTGATGATTTGGGGTGTATATGCAAATAATCCTTATTGTAAATATAAATTTTAATACTATTTGGGGTATGTTTATTGATTTTAAACTTTTATCATAGATTACTCTGATAAAAATAGTTCTGGATAAGTTATTGCAAAACTCTTAATTGTTAGTTATTAATTATTGAATCCTCCAATTACAGTCTTAGAATATAGAGAACTGTTAGCTTGACTCGGTCATTGATGACCAAGTCAACCACGGTTTCTCTGTTGAGAGAATGGTGGAGAACGTGAATCGTGGGTGGTTGAGAGAAAATCTCTCATGGGGCGGATCTGATGGGTAGAGATGATGTGTTTAGCCCCTATATAAGGAGGATCATTCTCCTTAAGAAAATATAACGAAAACAAGAGAAAACCCACTTACTCATTACCAGAGCCCCTCAGCTTGCTCCTAACTTCGTCATATTTATAGTTCGCGAGTATTATCGTTATGTGATTTAATCTTTGACGTGTGTACTGGTAATTGTCTTTTCCCTAACAAAATAGATTTTGTGGTCAGTGGTGCGGTCACACCTCAGGATAAGCCGGACCCCACATGAGCATCACTCACGTGCTGTCCATGTATATGTATGGGACTCAATGAAACAAGGGCCTCTTTAAAATTAGTTAATTAATTAAGACTTAAATGAAATCTTAAGTAAGGTAATTGCAATGAGATTCCAAATTATAAAGAGCGTGTCGTCATCATCGTCCATTCTTCATTCATTCACTCCAATTTCATAGCACATGGGGATGTCTATTTTATAGGGGTGCATTCGGTCCGGATACGGCTCGGATATGATGCTTACCATATCCATATCCGCTTACCCATCTCGGATACGGATACGGATACGGATATACCTCGGTAAGAAAAACTTATAACCATATCCGCTAAAATCGGATACGGTTACGGATATACATGCGGATATATAAGCGGATATGCATGCGGATACAAAACAGATATGAGAAAACTAGATAGTATTGAGAAAAACATAGTTCATGTGATACAAAAAAGTTCGTTAATATGTCCATTATAACTAAATAGTTAAGATTAGTCATCTTGATCATCAAAATTAATCACAAATCCATAATCTAAGAATCGAAACTATCGTAAGAGTATGACTAATATGTATTCTGATATTTCGGATACGGATACGGATATTTCACTACAAAACCATATCCATAACCATATCCTATCGGTTATAGATTTGAGTAACCATATTCGTATCCTAACGGATACGGTTACGGATATTTCATCGGATACGGATACGGTTTAGCACCCCTACTATTTTACATTTCATTGATAGTGAACTGTCCTAATTTTTTTTTTTTTTTAGATATTAGAGGACTTGTCAAGTCCCAAATGTAGTCTATATGAGCTACAACTGTTTGACATTTTCTGGACTTGATCGTGAAATGCAACTAATTTAAACAAGATGCTAGGGTATTCCTTCATGCATATCCATCAGTTGTCTGACTTTTAACTGTGATAATAAAATTGAAAATTTTTCCTTTGCAAAATGTTGATTAGCACGTCCAACTTTCATTTTTTAAGGAAAACAGATGGGATCTACTACTAATAACTTTTAAACCTAATTCGCATAAAACAATCCAGTTTTTTTTTCTTTCAATGTAAACTCAATCTCTACATGGTTATTTCTCAAAATCCCTAACCATTACCATTACACTAGAACGCTGAAGTTTTGGTGAGGGTTGCGAGTTATTTTATATATATATTATAACATGTCCCGACGAGTTGATCGTCTTTTTTATGAGCTGAAATCTAGGCTCACATAACAGTGTTAACTTTTAGAAAATTTGTTTTAAATTCACGGTCAATGGTATTTGAATCTGAGTTGCTTTAGCTAGAAAACACAACCATTACCGAAAACTCTAAAGTTATGATGAAGGTTGAGGGTCATATTTTTATATTCTGATAGTTATTCTTCAAATGTGCTATGGTAAGCACTAATAGTAAGAAATATAGTTTATTGCAAATATTTTTATACATTACATTTTTGTGATTATTAATTAGTAATATTAAGATTAATTAATTTTATATTAAAATAATAATTATTATTATTAAATAAATTAACTAATAAATTAATAAACTACTTAGTTAATAATATTATCACTATATAATAAGAAAATGCTTAACTAAAATATATTTGTATATCGAATTATTCCTTGTTCTTGATTACTAATATTGACAGCATTTAGTTAATCAGTATATAATTAATTAAATAATTTTAACTAACACAATTATTTAAATAATTATTAATTTATTATTTCATAATAATAAAAATAATTTAATTAAAACAATTAACTGAATGAAATTATGCAATCCGAGAATAAAAGGAGTATGAGGGTGTCAAACGTTGAAATAGAAAAATAACACTACAGACACACTCTCCACCACACTCTCCACCACACCCCCTCTCTTGCTACAGTGTAGGGGGGCTCACCTAAGATTTTTTAAAAAATCTCAGGTGGGCCCTCCTGCACTGTAGGAGGAGAGGGGGTGTGGTGGAGAGTGTGCCTGTAGTGCCACTCGAAATAGAATTGAGCGCAACCTTTCGAATTTCAGAACGCCATTCAACTATTAATTATTAAAGAGAAGACGAACGTATTCAAATTGTTTCGATTTGTACATAACAATGAATGTCACATTTATATTTCGATCCATCCACTCACGTACATAATGTGAGTAGATAAAGATTCTTTGCCCCCAGGCCGGCCCCACCCTTTAACCAATAAAAACCTTCCAACTTCAACTTTTGATGTCCTCAACAACCTTATCTCAAAGTCCCAACTACTCTGATCATGAGTGAGCTTGAGAAGCCCACGGGATCTCTCTCTAGTATTTGCCCATTGGAAAAGGAAAAAAAAAAGAGGAAAAAAAATTAAAAATCCTAATCACAGTAGAAAAATAAAAAGGAACGGAGTAGAACGGGAAACATGTCTCATGATACAAATCACGATTTTTTACAATATTGATACAATCAACAGTATTTTGTCAGCGCAGTTGCTAATATAACTTATCCTATCAATCAGGATCTTTTATATGTAGGGGCTGTTTGGTTCGTTTCCTTGATATAGAGAAATGCAATTCCATGTAAAGAAACACAACTTTTTAGTTTTCCAAACTTTTTCAAGAAATAGATTGTTTTGTTTTGGTTCGCACATAAAAATGGTGGGAAACCAATGTATCTATTTTTCTTAAACTCTCTTCCTTTATCAAGACTTTGAAGTTATGATTGAGGAGTGTTTTTTTTATATTCTAGTGTATCCTTGTAGGTTGAACGTCATTTTTTTATTAATATTTTAAGTCATGATGTGAAAAAATAGGGAATGATGTGATTTTAGACTGCGTCCTTAGGTGGGAATCTAATGTGTCACCTTAAGAAAACATTTCTCATATATATCTTCATCACGTTCTATTGGTTCGAAGTTGTTTGGGCTGCATATTTCTTGAGCGGTTATTCTTCCTTCAATTCTTTTCTCTTCATCTTTCCTGTTCATTTTTACCAAGAAAAGATATTCTTTGTCGCAACAGCTCATCATTTTCTGGTACATTGGCGATAAGTGCTCCTGCATTTTATTTATGGTCATTTTTTCTATTTTACTAATTTAATAATTTTATGGAAAAAAGAATTTATATATTTGAAATAAATAAAATGATATATTACCTTTCCTTCTTCAGTAAATGAATCTACATATTCTTCAGCTGAACAACCAGTTAGATACCGAGCTTCATCGAAAAGTGTAACATATGCCTTGTTGATATGATCTTTAACTTCCAATCGCATAAGGTACCTTGATGTGAAAATTTAATGTTATTTTTATTTTTTTAATTTAATGAATAAAATTTAGAACTTACTTTATTTCCCATTCTGTATCTTCAGTGTTGCAATTAGCTATGCTGTCTTCAACAAAAACCTTTCTTTGACAACTCTTGCATGCGGTGTAACAAGGTGATTCTGGATTGATTATTGCTGATATCTCCGCTTTAAAGTAGGAATACATATTCTAAACAATAGCAATCAAGTTATAAATTCAAAATTTATTATTATTTATATTGTTAATATCTTAACCAATATAATAAAATACCAGTTCGTAGCTGTTGATGATGTGATAATATCACCAAGCATAACCTTTTTAGACCTCCTCATTAGCTTCGATGGTGTCTGCTGCATCAGTTTCTCATAATTTTTCCTCTTCCCTGTCATCCTATATTTAAGACATGTATTTTTTTTTTAAATTAATTTAGGAAGGATTTTATTTGGACAAGCATTACCATTCTTTAAGAGTATGTGCTTCAGAAATGTTTGGATCTATTAAAAATATTTTTGCAGGCTTTGTTGATATTTGCGGAACTCCTGTATTCATTATATGGTTACTTTTTAGTTATATAAAATTTTAAAACAAATAATAATAAATTAAAAAGTCATACCCATATATCTATTTGCAGTAACATTAATTATTGCTATAGTTGGTTTTTGTTTTTTCTTGTCTTCGAATACTTGACCTTCTTTCTCTGCATGCTCTCCCCATAATGTTAATATCAATGGATCCAACCTGTGTTAATTACAAAAATTGTTAAATGGATATGTTAGTATTTTAATATTTGTTATTGAAAAATTATTTCTTATTTAAAAACACTTACTCTTCATTCATTATTGTGATCTCCCTTCTAACTGATGTATTTGTTGTGTACAACGGTCTCACTGAATATATATATATTCTCTTTTAAAATACGAGTTCGGGAAAATCTTTCCATGGTTAATATTACCCTTAATTTTTTTAATATTATATTGTTATCCTAATCTATATTCTAGTTATCCTATCTTCTTTAAATTGGTAATTAAGTGATTTATCTCATTCATAACGAGACTTAAAATGTTATTGGATAAAAGAGATATGTTTGATATAATTCAAATCATTTGCTTATTTCAATTCGCAGAGAAATCTAAGAAACATCTGCTAGCCAACACCTACTTTTTTTTGGCATTTGTAAAAAAATATCCTCCAAGTTTTTTAAATTACAAAAACACCCCCACAAATTCATAATTTTATTAAAACATCTTGAAAATTATAAATTTTACTTATTTTAATTTCGTAAGAAATCTAAAAAACATATACTAGCTAGAAACTAAAAGTTTTTTTATTTTGAAGAAAATATCTTGTAAGTTTTAAAATTTATAAAAAGACCTTAAATTTGTAAAAAAAAATACCTTAAAAATTTTAAACCTATAAACACACCAAAAACCTATAAATAACACAAACCACCTCTAAAAATTTATGGGATTTGCAATAAACACTTTAAACTTTTTACAAATTATAAAATAAAATCCTCAAAATCGTAAGATTTATAAAAATACTGATAATTTCCAACCTAACAGTACATTGAAAATATAGAAATTATAAATATCCCCTACATAATTTATAGAACACACCCTTAAAGTTTCAAAAATTATAAAAACTTAAAATTTAAAGTTTACAAAAAAACCCTAAGAATTTTAAACTCATTAGTAAATTTAAAACATAGGATATATATATAGTCTATAAACAATTTACAATTTGTAGAAAAGACCTATAAGTTTAAAAAATTATAAAATAAACTCTAAAATTCATAATTTTCAAAAAAACCATGAGAATTTCTAACTTATATAGACACTAAAAATGAATATACAAAATTACTAACAATCCCTAGAACATTAAAAATTTATAAAAAATATCATACTCCTTTTAAAAGTATAGATTTAGGAAAAACTTTTTATGATCAATATTACCCATAACGTATTTGAAAAGAACATAACTAATTAAAAATCTATTAAATTTAAAATTTACAAAAAACACCTTAAATTTTAGTACATTGCAATTATCCCTCCAAAATTTAAAAATTTTCAAAAAATTATGTAATTCCTTGATTACAATGTAATGTTTGATAGATTTGTGTATTTATAAATTACAAAAAATTAGAGTTTTTTTAATAATTTTTAAAACTTTTGAGGGTGTTTCTTTTGTAGTTTTATAAATTTTTATTATATTTTTAGTGTAATGCATAGAACCGTAAATTAATGATGATATTGAAGAGTAAGTCGTTCTTAATATGTATTATGCCATAGTTAAGTGTGCACATTACTATTACTAGGCAATATAGTTTATACATGCAAAAATTTTCAAACAATCTATATAGTTGTCAAAAGGATTTTGACTTTAATGTACTATTTTTTATAAATTATATTTAATGTGAATCGCCATTTAATTCTGATTGTGTTCATCATAATTTTAATATGTTTGATTGATTGACTAAATGAGTATATAGACCATATATTACTTTACTTCTCACATAAACTAATATTCGATGCTTAATAATTTAAATTATCACTTTTAAATTTAATATAAATAGGAGCTCTAATAACATTTATTTATTTACCTACAGGATAATACAATCTCAATCTTATTTTTTGCTTGAGATTTATTCCATAGTTATGCATATCAAATTAGTAACTAAAATAATAATTATTTATGCTTAAGTTAGGATGATTGTAGTTAGCCACTCACTATAGAATTTTCATGAAAATGTACAACTTACTTTCTACAGCTATCTGCACTAGCATTGTATATTTTATAAATTAGTTATTAATTTTACATATTAAATTACTTTTCCTTTGTTAAAATTTCTTCTTTGACTTATTTTGGATTGTGTAATCACTATATCACGATTATAGCGTAGCAAGTACCTCACTCTAAATGGATTCCAGGTAATGTTTGAGTTGAACTGAAGTATATACTATCACTACTATGTGTATATATTTTTTAAGAAAGTTATGACAATACTTTTTAAATAGAAAAGAATATTCTAACCTCTGATATTATAAAAACTAAATATAGCTAATTGAGTGATTAACAAAAGAGAATTTACATCAGAAAAGCGTGAATAATAAAATAAAGATAAAAGGTAAGGCCATTGCCAACAATACGATCAATAGCAAACTACAATGTAAAGTTAACCTATTTTGTTGTGGAGCCCAACTACTGACTATAAGCATCGAGGTTTTCATATATTTACTTTATAATTTATTTAAAAGGGTCATTTAATCTTATATAATAAAACTATTTTAATATTAAATAGTAATATCATTGTAATAATATCATTATTAGGGAAAATTCTTTATGAATCAGTATGTTCTTTACGATATATAAGCTATGCACTCCAAATTCTTGTGTCTTTTATAGAGCCAAAAAGTTTAAATACGAGCCTCTGATATTTTGCTCTCACAACAACAAAATCCACTTAGCAGATTGTAGGTAATAAAAATTGCCTTTAATCTCTATCAGAGAAGTTCAGAACAATGCTGCTAAAACCTAGCCCGAAATAGCAACAAAGGAGAAAACGTTGATATCTCTTAAACCGGAAGAAATTATTTGGCAAAACAGACAGGACCAAACCGAACCTTTTGGGGTAGGTCTGGTCGGCTCCGTCTCGTCGAGATAGTCAATTTTTATCTATAATTCGTCTAATTCCGACTTATGGTTTGAAAGTTATGACATGTTCTTCGTAGCATGTTACGGAGCTCGCCTGCAAAGGAGTTTAGCTCGTCTGAATGAGGCTGGCTCGCCTAGCCTGCACAGCCTCGCCTGCCAAGCTCACCTGACAGTTAGAATCTCGCTTCCATAGCCTCGCCTGCATGCTTGAAATTCGCCTGCATAAGACAAGCTCGTCCGACGGCTGGAAGCTTGCCTGCACAAGGATAGCTCGCCCGACAGCTGGAAGCTCGCCTGTATGACCCAAGCTCGCCTGCACGCTTGAAACTCGCCTGCTTGCTTGAAGCTCACCTATACAATGCAAGCTCGCCCAACGGCTGGAAGCTCGCATGTACAAGGCAACCTCGCCAGACAGTTGAAAGCTCGCCTGCACAAGGCAAGCTCGCCCGACAGCTTGAAGCTTGCCTGTAGCACCCAGGCTCTCCTGTATGCCAAAGCTCGTCAAGCTCACCTGCACAAGCAAGCTCGCCTGCAGACTCGCCTGCTCGCCTGCAGACTCGTCTGCTCGCCTGAAAGCTCGTCAGCTCGCCTGACAGCCCAAGCTCGCCTGTAATGTTAAGCTTGCATGTATAGCTGGACCAAGTCAACCACTTAAGCTTAAAATATGGGAGTGGGTACACCCACTCCCCATGATTTAAGGGATGGAGTATGGTTCTCCTCATCTCTAATGGTCACATCCCAAGATTTAAAGGATGGAGTTATGGCCCCCCTCAACCACAATCTCACAATTTGAGGGAGTGACCATGTTTCTCCTCCACTATAAATAGTCAATGATGGCTATCAAAAGAGAGGTCTTGGATTCATGATCAAGACCGAACCCAGCCCAACGGCTACAAGCTCGCATGTACAAGGCAACCTCGCCAGACAGTTGAAAGCTCGCCTGCACAAGGCAAGCTCGCCCGACAGCTTGAAGCTTGCCTGTAGCACCCAGGCTCTCCTGTATGCCAAAGCTCGTCAAGCTCACCTGCACAAGCAAGCTCGCCTGCAGACTCGCCTGCTCGCCTGCAGACTCGTCTGCTCGCCTGAAAGCTCGTCAGCTCGCCTGACAGCCCAAGCTCGCCTGTAATGTTAAGCTTGCATGTATAGCTGGACCAAGTCAACCACTTAAGCTTAAAATATGGGAGTGGGTACACCCACTCCCCATGATTTAAGGGATGGAGTATGGTTCTCCTCATCTCTAATGGTCACATCCCAAGATTTAAAGGATGGAGTTATGGCCCCCCTCAACCACAATCTCACAATTTGAGGGAGTGACCATGTTTCTCCTCCACTATAAATAGTCAATGATGGCTATCAAAAGAGAGGTCTTGGATTCATGATCAAGACCGAACCCATTTGGCTCCTT